TTTTGCCATTCCCCCCGTCCTCTCTGCCCCGTGGCCGGCAGCTCCGTAAGCTCGTTAGCGACTTCTCGATCTTTATGTCCATCCTCATGTTTGTGGGGCTGGATATTCTCTTTGGACTCAACACCCCAAAGCTCCAAGTGCCTACGGACTTCAAGGTAAAAAACCAGAGCCCAAAAAACCACGGAGGATTCCCCTTCCCCATCCAGGGGGACGTGGGGATCCCAGAGGGGATCCAAAATGGGAATCACAGTGGGAATCCCAGTGAGGATCCCAATGGAAATCACGGGATCCGAAATGGGAATCCCAGTGGGGATCCCAATGGAAATCCCAATGGAAATCACAGTGGGGATCCCAATGGAAATCCCAGTGGGGATCCCAGTGGAAATCCCAATGGAAATCCCAGTGGGGATCCGAAATGGGAATCCCAGTGGGGATCCCAATGGAAATCCCAGTGAGGATCCCAATGGAAATCCCAATGGGGATCCCAATGGAAATCCCAGTGAGGATCCCAATGGGAATCCCAATGGAAATCCCAATGGAAATCACAGTGAGGATCCCAATGGAAATCCCAGTGGGGATCCCAATGTGGAACCCAAATAGAAAGCCCAATAAGGATCCCACTGGGGATCCCAAGGAGGATCCCAGTGAGGATCGCAATGGAAATCCCAACGAGGATCCCAGTGAAGATCCCAGTGGAAATCCCAATGAGGATCCCAATGGAAATCCCAATGGAAATGCCAGGGAGGATCCCAATGGGGACCCCAATGGAAATCCCAGTAAGGATCCCAATGGAAATCCCAATGGAAATCCCAGTGAGGATCCCAATGGAAATCCCAGTGAGGATCCCAATGGAAATCCCAGTGAGGATCCCAATGTGGAACCCAAATAGAAAGCCCAATAAGGATCCCACTGGGGATCCCAACGAGGATCCCAATGAGGATCGCAATGGAAATCCCAACGAGGATCCCAGTGGAAATCCCGATCAGGATCCCAATGGAAATCCCAACGAGGATCCCAGTGAAGATCCCAGTGGAAATCCCAATGAGGATCCCAATGGAAATCCCAATGCAAATGCCAGGGAGGATCCCAATGAGGACCCCAATGGAAATCCCAGTGGGGATCCCAATGGAAATCCCAATAAGGATCCCACTGGGGATCCCAAGGAGGATCCCAGTGAAGATCCCAATGGAAATCCCAATGAGGATCCCAGTGAAGATCCCAGTGGCAATCCCAACGAGGATCCCAGTGGAAATCCCGATCAGGATCCCAGTGGAAATCCCAATAAGGATCCCACTGGGGATCCCAAGGAGGATCCCAGTGAAGATCCCAGCGCAATCCCAAGGAGGATCCCAGTGGAAATCCCGATCAGGATCCCAGTGACAATCCCAACGAGGATCCCAGTGGAAATCCCGATCAGGATCCCAGTGGAAATCCTGATCAGGACCCCAGTGACAATCCCAACGAGGGTCTGGGGGCGGTTTGTGGCACAGGATTTCGGACGGATGCGGGATGGGCTCGTCACCAAGTGCCACCGCCCGGTGTTGTCAGCCCATGCCGCGTTGCCGAGGTCCCGAGGCCACTCCCGAGGTTCTGAGCCCGTTGTCTCCCCAGCCCACGCGCGTGGACCGCGGCTGGTTCGTGTTCCCCTTCGGGAAGAACCCGTGGTGGGTGTACCTGGCCAGCGCCCTGCCCGCCCTGCTGGTCACCATCCTCATCTTCATGGACCAGCAGATCACGGCCGTCATCGTCAACAGGAAGGAGCACAAGCTGCGGGTGAGACCCCGGGGGATCCCCCAGGGCACCCCATGGAGCACCCAGGGCACCCCATGGAGCACCCAGGGCACCCATGGCACCCCATGGACCCCCAGAGCACCCAGGGCACCCCATGGATCCCCAGAGCACCCCATGGATCCCCCAGGGCACCCCATGGATCCCCCAGAGCACCCCATGGACTCCCCAGAGCACCCATGGCACCCCATGGATCCCCCCAGGGCACCCAGGGCACACCATGGACCCCCCAGAGCACCCATGGCACCCCATGGACCCCCAGAGCACCCCATGGACCCCCAGAGCACCCCATGGACTCCCCAGAGCACCCATGGCACCCCATGGACCCCCAGAGCACCCAGGGCACCCCATGGACCCCCCAGGGCACCCTATGGATCCCCCAGAGCACCCCATGGATCCTCATGGATCTCCCAGAGCACCCACAGCACCCCATGGATCCCCCAGAGCACCCCATGGATCCTCCAGGGCACCCCATGGATCCCCCAGGGCACCCCATGGACCCCCCATGGCACCCCAAGGACCCCCCAGAGCACCCAGGTTCCTGGTGGTGCTGGGTGCTGCCCTGGCCTGGGCGAGTTTGGGTTGGGGGTGCTGGAGGCCTTGGAAGGTGAAGCTCTGTGGGTAACGGGGCCAGGAGGCTGATTCGGGGTGCTGGGGGGACGTGGGGGGCATGGGGTGATCCTGGGGGGCATGGGGTGATTTNTCCCAGTGGGGATCTCAATGGAAATCCCAATGGGGATCCCAATGGAAATCCCAATGGAAATCCCAGTGAGGATCCCAATGGAAATCCCAGTGGGGATCCCAATGGAAATCACAGTGGGGATCCCAATGGAAATCCCAGTGAGGATCCCAATGGAAATCCCAGTGGGGATCCCAATGGAAATCCCAATGGAAATCACAGTGAGGATCCCAATGGAAATCACAGTGGGGATCCCAGTGAGGATCCCAATGGAAATCCCAGTGGGGATCCCAATGTGGAACCCAAATAGAAAGCTCAATAAGGATCCCACTGGGGATCCCAACGAGGACCCCAGTGAGGATCGCAATGGAAATCCCAACGAGGATCCCAGTGAAGATCCCAGTGGAAATCCCGATCAGGATCCCAGTGGAAATCCCGATCAGGATCCCAGTGGAAATCCCAATAAGGATCCCACTGGGGATCCCAAGGAGGATCCCAGTGAAGATCCCAGCGCAATCCCAAGGAGGATCCCAGTGGAAATCCCGATCAGGATCCCAGTGACAATCCCAACGAGGATCCCAGTGGAAATCCCGATCAGGATCCCAGTGGAAATCCTGATCAGGACCCCAGTGACAATCCCAACGAGGGTCTGGGGGCGGTTTGTGGCACAGGATTTCGGACGGATGCGGGATGGGCTCGTCACCAAGTGCCACCGCCCGGTGTTGTCAGCCCATGCCGCGTTGCCGAGGTCCCGAGGCCACTCCCGAGGTTCTGAGCCCGTTGTCTCCCCAGCCCACGCGCGTGGACCGCGGCTGGTTCGTGTTCCCCTTCGGGAAGAACCCGTGGTGGGTGTACCTGGCCAGCGCCCTGCCCGCCCTGCTGGTCACCATCCTCATCTTCATGGACCAGCAGATCACGGCCGTCATCGTCAACAGGAAGGAGCACAAGCTGCGGGTGAGACCCCGGGGGATCCCCCAGGGCACCCCATGGAGCACCCAGGGCACCC